AAAACATTTTTTTTTAAAAATATGTTGCTATTTTTTTTTTTTACTAATAAACATACCAAGGTAAAATATAATGGATCAAATATTTTCTTGAACAATTGCTGAATTTGAACCAAAAGTATGTTTATGTTTCAGAGTTAATTGAATACTTATGATGCCTCTGAGTGGAAGATTCATGAGAAGCTCTGAAGTATCCAGGTCAAGCAGATATAGTCCATCAGAACTTCCGATCCACACACAACTTCCTCTATGGAAAAGGCACAAAGAAGAGACTATTTACAAAAGACACTACAAAGAACTAAGGCCTGGTTAATGTAACAGGGTACAACAGAAAAAAAAGAAAAGAAAAAAGATCTGTATTGTATAGAGCTACTGTAGGAATTCACACCCACATTGCCACAAAGTCTCTATAGAGAACATCTATGAAAGCATGTTATATTAAACTACAGTGGCAGAATCTATGATAAGAGATTGCACAAGCTTGCTCTAAAAGAGAACTGCACTAAAGCTTTGAAAAACTTGATTTAAGTCAGTATCTTATTGCAGTGCAAATCATAAAGTGGCAGAGGTCAAGGGTCATCACTCCTGTCCGATAAACTAAAGTTATTGGGGTAATATGTTATTTTCTATGAATCACTATGAATCTGTGAATAACAATGAGAAGAATTCATGCACAGTTAATTAACTAAACATGAGTGTGTAAAAGAAGAAATTGAATTCATATATATTTTAATGTTTTTAGTATTTCTGATTTTTGTGACTTTGCCTCTTCCTTGGCCTCCCTTACTTTCTGGGTCTGCAGGCATTTCTCCACCAGTTTACAGCATATGATATGACAAATTTCAGCATATAATGACATGTTATGCGAAAGTTTTCAGGTTCAGTTCACACAACCATCTTGTCATAAAGCTGTAACTGCTGTTTGGACAGCATGAAACCATAAAGAGGAGCATAATGGCTTTCTAATTGGACGTTTTCTGCCATGACCATAGAAAAATCTGTTGAAAAATTATTTTTTACGCCTGTGAAGACAGGTGTACCATGCTGTATATCTCTACCACAACTTTACTATGTCATGACTACTACAGTAATGACTATTATCATACATACTGTGTGCTTGTGAATACATTTTGCCTGCCTTACATCATTTCTTACCCCAAAAATTCAACAATTGCCCAAGCAGATAAAGGTGAACAACAATAACAGACCAAAGACAGTACCTCTGCTGCAGGCTAGTATGACTGGACTGCAGTTTCTATGCCCAAATTCTCAGAACAGGCTTTGCTGTCTCCACTGTTCTTCTCACATCATTACGAGTCGTTCCTAGAAAAGCACACAGAATCAGATGAAGCTCAGTGAGATCCTTTTCACTTGAAGCAGATGTATCGTTTTCCGCAGTGAGGTAGGCACATGAAAAACACTAGTTATACGCAGTCTGAATTGTGGCTTGTGGGTTTTTTCTAACCATCTGGTCTATTTTGAGGTGAGCTGGTTTTTCTGAGGTTTCTCTCATGCTTCTGTTCAAGCTTCGAAAGGTCCAGTTTTGTCACCAAGCGGCATTTTGTGGTCCACAGGGAGAGTGTAGCACTAAAGCTTGAATCACAAAGAGATTCCAACGTAAAGTGATATATAGATTACACAAGAGAGCTTTAAAGTGTGTGTGTGTGTTACTCACCTGTCCGTCACCAGACCCTGTGATGAACTGACTGTTTTGCTCCATGAAGAACAGACTTACCAGTGGATACGCTGTGAAACAAAAACTTCAGGATCTTCACTACATATTCTCTACATTTATAGGCTATGAGTGAAGAACCTCAATTTCTGTTGTATAAATATTAGTGTTAATAACTATAACCCGACCTGATAGGACAGCAGATTCAAAGAGTATATCGCCCTTCTTCACATACCAAATCTAATACAAAAAAAAGAAAGAAAAAGAAGTCATATGCATATGTATCTACAATATATGATATATACTGTATATATATTATTACCAGCTCTCTCTCTCAATATATATATATATATATATA